GTCAATATTTGCTCAATAAAATTGATTTCACACTTTTCTTGAAAGTATATACTGACTTCAAGTTACGGATGTCAACGGACAGTGAGTTCCAAATATCCGGACCAGAATGTCTTATAGATTTCATAGCCATTGTTGTTTTAGGATTACATAAATGGTATTTATTTGATTGTCTGGTTGGGTATGTATGAATATTTCTATTCAAACAAAACATTGGTGGGAAGTGGGAAGGTAGGGAATCATTATGTAGACGGAACATGAACAGTGCTTTTTGTAAAAAGTTAATATCAGTTACTTTCAGAGTTTTTAACCTCGCGAATAGGGGATCAGTGTGATCGCGATATCCAGCATTGGTACACACACGAATCGCTTTCTTTTGTAGAAGTAGCATTTTATCAGTATATACTTTTGAGTCTGCCCACAGTATATTGCAATAAGACATGTAAGGAAGAATCAAGGAATTGTATAGCATATATAGAATATTCAAAGGCACATAATGTTTTAACTTATACAGTAAACCAACAGTGCGTGACACTCTCTTTGAAACGTAATGTACATGATCACTCCATTTCAGATTTTCATTGATGATAGTTCCAAGAAATTTAGTATTTTGTTTTTTCTCCAAATATTCACCATCCAAGACTATTTCAGGTATAGGTTTATCAGTTGCATTTTTCCTGCTTTGAAAATGAATATAATTAGTTTTTTTCAGATTCAGAGACAATTTGTTGCTCCTAAACCACAAAGACAGCTTAGGTAGCTCGGTGTTCAGAATTCTCTGAAGAGATCGAAAATCGGAATTGGAGCAAAACACATTAGTATCATCAGCAAATATAATATATTGTAATGATGTAGTTGAGTTCGAGATATCATTAACATACAGTAGAAACAATAAAGGACCGAGTATCGATCCTTGTGGGACACCACATTTCATAGGCAATAATGATGAATCTACAGATTCGTAGCTTACATATTGCTTTCTACCTGACAAATAATCATTAAACCAGTCAAGAGCAACTCCTCTTACTCCGTAATAATGAAGTTTGCTTGATAGTACCTTGTGATCAAGAGTGTCAAATGCTTTGCTTAAGTCCATGAATACACCAATAACATGCTTTCGAGACGCCAAAGCATTCGAAACCTTATCATATAATTGTGCAAGGGCTAAATCGGTTGAGTGGTATTTCCTGAAACCATATTGATCCTGATTCAGTAAGTCATTTTCTGTTAGAAAACAATATAGCCTATTGTATATAAGTCTTTCCAATACTTTGGACAAACTCGAGAGAATAGAAACAGGGGGATAGTTTGAGACTTGGGAAGAGTCATCCTTTTTGTATATCGGAACAACCTTAGCAATCTTAAATGCTTCTGGAAATGTACCTGTCGTCAGAGAGAGATTAAAAATATGCACTAGTGGGGTTATTATATTTCCTATAACTTGTTTCAAAAGATATGTGCTTATCCCATCATGACCGTTAGCATAGCTTATTTTAAGAGAACGTGCAATATTCAAGATTTCAATCAAGTTTGTTAGTTTGAGAAATAATGACTTGTTGCAGGGAGTTTGAAGAAATTGTGAGAAGTCGACTCCGTTCGAAGCTATTGTATTGGCCTGATTGGGGCCAACCCCAACAAAGTAAGCATTGAAGCAATTTGCTATTTCTTTTGAATCAACCATTGTATTATTATCTTTGGTAATATGACACTTTGATTTACTCTTTTGTTTTTTGAGGGCTTGATTGATCACATTCCACGTTGATGATGCATTTCCATTTGCATTTTCAAACTGCTTGGCAAAATACATTTGTCGAGACTGTCTAATAATGGTGGTTAGTTTGTTCCTATATGATTTGTAATTATTCAAGCTTTCCTCTCCTGGGTGTCGAAGACTATATTTATATAATCTATTCCGTTTTTTAATAGAGCAAAAGATACCTTTAGTTATCCATGGCTGCTTGATTCTATTTCTTGCCGATCTTTTTTAGTCATTGGGATATGTTTATTTAAAAGAGAGGAGAACAAGTTCCAAAAAAGTGCATATGCCTTATTGGTGTCAGTACATGCGACCACGTCATTCCATGTTACTTTGAGTAGTTCGTCATTAAACATGGCTATTTTTTCAGCTGTGATTTTACGTATCATAGCTTGATTCTTTTCGTCCTCAGGATAATTGCGAACATGATTACAAATCAGGAAAATTGGAAGGTGGTCAGAGATTTCACTATACAAGAGGCCAGAGCCTATATAGTTATTGGTGACATTTGTAAAAATGTTATCTATCAATGTAGAAGAGTTATTTGCCAATCTGGTTGGTTTATCAATCATGGCATTGAATGAATTTGATCGTAACATATTATGAAAAGTATTATCTTCCTGCAAAAGATCAATATTAAAATCACCCATCAAGTAAACATCCTTATTTTCTAGATTGACCTTATGCAGCATCCTATCAAACTCATCCAAAAATAATTCAACCTTTGTATGCGGAGGCCTATATATTGTACATATCAAGATGTTTTTCCTTTGAGCCATATTGATTTCAATGCATATCGAGTCAGTACCATCACTCTTCAAACTAAGGTCAGATCTAATTTTGTATGTTAACAAGTTTGAGATAAACATAGCAGCTCCACCACCCCTTCCGGTTTTTTCTATCAGAACGTACAATCGAATAATTGACAATATTACATAAAGTAGATGGAGATGTATCATTAAGCCACGTTTCTGTGACTCCTATGACTGAAAACGGTTTGGTGAGGGCCGACAGCAGAATGTTCAGATATTCATAATTTTTAACAAGACTTCGTGCATTTGTATGTAATAAGCTAAAGGAATTATTTTCACTCTCAAATCTTGAATTAAATTCATGAGGAAGATAATATTTACAATCCACATACATGTATTGTCAAGGTGGTAAAAAACCACACATGTTGTTTCCTGTTTGATTGTGTAAAGAGAAAAACAAAATCATCATGTTATTTAACCATATCTAGTAAATTCACAAATGTGAGGTCGTGTTCCTCACCTTTCACCTTTGACCCATCGAACGATCTCAACACTCAAAATAGAACAATAGGAAACATACTACATGTTCACATGATAATTGAAAAACAGCTGATCGGAGCTTGCATGTTTTCCACATTTGTTCATGGTTTTAAAGGAGAAGTCCAATCAGATTTCAACTTATATAGATGAAAGTAGAGCAAACAAAAATAGAACAGGACATTATTTCTAATCGAATGAATAATATCGAGAAGTTATGGGTTTTGAAATCATGAATATATGATACAATGATACGAATTGGCAACTCTGCGGTCTGCATGCATGTATAAATATCATTCTCCCCTTTTTTTGTTACATAAAATTTTATGAGCTTCCATCGCCCGCCCTACCTACCAAAAAAATATTTCTCATCTCACCCTGGTATAAGTCACCAAATGAGATTTGCAAGATAGCTTTGATGGTTCAATTTAACTGTTTATTACTTTAAATGTTGCCCACCACTTCAGGATGTCGTTGACCTCAGAAGCAAACCCCAAAATCTGAAAAACATCCACTGTAGTGTTTAATTTAAACAATGGAAGGGCCATCAACTTGGAAACTCCCCTTCTCTCCTCCCCCCCCCCCCCTCTCTCTCTCTCTCTCTCTCTCCCCCCCCCCCCCCCCCCCCCCTCTCCCTATTTGTCCCTCCCTCCCCTCCTCTCTATCTCTCTCTTTCTCTCGCTCTCTAACTTCCTGTTTCCAGCTCCCTTTCCTCTTCTCTCTCCCCCCTCTCTCTCTCTCTCTTTCTTTTTATCTTCCCTTCTCTCTCCCTCACTTGCTTTCTCTACCTATCTGTCTATCCAGTATCCATCTATCTCTCTATCTATCTACAGTCATCTACCTCATCACATCCTTTTTCTCTCGCAACCCCTGTCACTTTATTTGTTATTCAAAATCCAGCTACTTCTAGATCTCTCTGGTTCTCTATTCCATAACCATCGGAAAATGACTAAGAACTTTGGTCTGTTTGTTGATCGTATTTGTAATGTTCCATAAGTCTTTTGTTTTGTCATTGTATAATAGTTTGTTTTTTTTCTTCTTCACTTTCCATAAAAAGTATGAAAGGAATATTTCAAACATATAGTCTTACCATAATGCTATGACTTTATAATACCTTTTTTTTTTAAATCATCTCTGATTCTCTCTTCATAACCTTATTCAGTGTGTTTTTATTAATGTTTAATAGATTCCATTCAAATTTCTGTTTTTTGTGGAAACAGCTTTGAAAGGTGGTTGTCGTATTGACCATCAATACATTTTTCTTCTTTAAATTTCATGCTACTCACATTATTCCAAGCAATCATATAACTAAATACATTTACTTTCTTAGCCACAAGAATGGATACTAGTGTATGTCTTTGTACACTTCTGCACAAGCAAATACGTGATTAACGTCAGAATACGTACCTGCAAAATAAGAAAGGAGTTATCTCTTGATTGAAGCAATTGTATTTTTATTGTATTTTGTCTATTTTATATTGGATATGCTTAATTCAAACACTTTTGAAATCCTTAATGATACCTTGGAAGTGATGGTGTCCTCAGGCTGGTTCGGTATACTTTATCTGGGCTGGTTCATGCACAACTCTTCAGTATCCATTGTTTGTTGTCATTAATTTTCAGCAAGTACATGTACGTGTATGTAATGCTAAATATATTACTCATTGCTATACTGCTAGTGACATTGTCACCTGAAGAAGTGTTGCAGTGGCACACGGAACGTTGTGATCTTCTAGATCCCTTGTTGACCATACATTGCGAGACAAACGAATATCACTAGCGATATTATTTTTGATACATGTATGTACTTTGCACAGATTGCATGACATATGCAACATGTCAGCGCTCAAGGTACCAGCACTCATCAAGATGATTTAAAGCAACCAGTCTAGCCGCCCAACAACGCCATTCCATTAATGCTTAATATCACATTGCAATTTTCTCTTTGCTTTCTTCAGGTGGCTGTCTTCAAGAAGCGAGAGAGGCTACGGTCGGGGGAGAAAGCCATCGACATTGAACGTACCACCGAGGACGATCCGGAGCTGATTCAGCGAGAACAGAGGGTCCTGGAGGATGAGGCCAACGAGGCCAACCACAAGGAGGAGGTGATGGGGATCGACATCTCCATCATCGAATCGGACAACGATGAGGACATCATCGCAGAGATCTCCGATGAAGAGGTCCTCCCAAAGGACGAGAACCCTCCTCATTCGCCTCTAGAAAGGAAAGAAAGTACTGTATGATCATGGTTGATGATGGGGATGCTTCAGGGGATTCCTCGCATTCTTTATAGTAGATGAACAATGAAAGACGTACCTGGTGGTCGAAGGCATCGGAAAGTTCTTGCCCAGATTCTGTTTCAAGTGAGAGATCTCTGAATGAGGAAATATTTTAGGATGCGACCTGGCACCGCTGAAAGACATCCTGCAAGGATTCGTAGATCAGAATTTTTATGACATTTTCTCAAATGACATCATGGATGTTATTGTAGCCAAAGAGGTTACGGCCTCCAGAGGACACCAGGGGCCAGTTTCACAAATCCTTTTTTCAATGACAAATGACAAAAAACAGTGACAAATCTGCTGATAACCAATCAGAAGGAAGGATTTCAGTAGCTTATAACAACAACTGTCATGTGTCACTGATGACAAGTTTTGTGAAACGCCCCCCAGGACGTGACACCGCTGGAAAGACATCATTCAAAGATTCATTTGATCACAGAGAAGGTTTTACGACATCTGTTTGAGAAAAATTATGCATGTTTTTGAGCCGAAGACCGTGGAGTTAACGACTAAGACTTCAAAGATGGAACCGTCAGGGGATGAAAGACACTGATAGAGACAAGTCCTCTCGGTAACAGCGCCCTCTTTATGCCTCCGAGCATACAGCATCCATTTGTGATTCTGCTTGTTATCGAAATGAAGGAGAAGGCAAAGCTGTTCTATCACGCAAATATCCATGTGCGAATTACGCAAGGCTCTTTTGTGCCCTATATGACCTGGGGGTGTTTCACAAAGATCCTAAGTTGAACTTAACAATTATGAAAAGCCGTTAGCATCTTAGAAAATATTTGGTAAAATTTATTTTAAAAGGCATAAAATGTTGATTCAAATCATTCATATTTTCTATTATCAAGGAGATTTCATATTCATGATGTGGAAGTTATGAAAAGTCTAAAATACTTGCATTTTTGCTTTTGAATATATATTTCTTTAATGCTACAAACGGCTCTCCATAATGTTAAAGTCCAACTGAGTGTTAAGTTCGACATAGGACCTTTGTAAAACACCTCCCATTGTATGTCACCTGCAGAGAGCTAGAAGGACACAAAGATGTGATTCAACGCCCTTGTGACTCTCAACAGAGGGTGTTTAGTGACAGGTAATCGATCCCATTTCTTCTATGTGCATTTTTTATTTCACATTTTTACATGTAATCTGTATGTGACAATTTACCTTGGAAAACGAATTTTGTTTCCAATTTTATTTGAAAGCAGTTCTGGAGGTTTTGAACTGAGATTGGATGTATAGAGTGTTGATGCATTGTCTGTTTGGAGCCAGAAGGGTGTTAATGGCTCTGTGTTTGAGCCCTTCTGACTCTCAGCAGACAAATAATATAGTCTTCTATTTTATGTTTAACGAGGCCATGTGATCATGAAGCAAGTTGTTTAAATCTTCCCATGTCTAGCCAAAAGATATTAGAGCAGGGGAATTCCTAATAGTTATGAATTTTGATAATGCCTTATGTCGTGCGCATAACAAATAAACTTTAAAGAAACAAATTATATGAAATTGATAATAAATGTGATTTTAAATGTATTGGATTTAATATGTATTAGAATTCATAAGGAGTTAGATTTATTCTATATATTTCAACAATAGGATTTATTTTTAATCAAGTAGGAACAAACATAGGTAGATGAAAATATCTGATTAATGTTTTGAGTTACATAGAGAGAATGGGAAATAAAAGCAAAATTAAGCCTTAACAAAGACTATGCATGAATTAAAGATGTTTATACAACACTAACTTATTTTTTTATAGGTGTGTATATGCATCAAGCACCATAGTTATGAGCACATTTGAGACCATTTAAGTACATGATATACACTAGACATTTTATACTTCAAGTGATGGGTTTATGATCTGCATTAAAATCTGTTGTAAACACTGAATTATCATCATGTGCAGTGACAATGCACCTTGTTTCAGAAAACTGCATTTCAAACACAGCTGAATTAGGTATGAAGAAATGAAAACATGTATACACGGCTGCAAGCAGTTCCAGGAAATGCACTGTAAAGCAACGTCAATTCCTCCTAGAACTCGTGTATGTTCTGCTTATGTCAGAGGGTATTTAGACTTGAGAGGCTGTTGTTTTTCTACAAATATCAGTTGTCTGGAAAATGGAAATGCTTTAGCGCCCTTCAAAGCACAAAAAGTTGTATTCATGTTAATGGTTTGACTAGCCTTTCACTTGACACACATTCTTGATCTCTTTTACATATTTGTAGCAGCAGTAGTATTAGGATTAATACATATTCTCATTAAAGATAGGGGTAACTGAAAATGGGCTTTTGCTTTTCTTCTTTTGATCACGAGCCACTAATTTTAGATAGGAAATATGAAAATATCCTAATGCACTTGCAAGAAATTTTTATTTCTAGATTTTGCTGAAAGAAAAATTCAAATCCCAAAAGGAGATAACTAGATATTAGATGTGACAACTCTTTGGTATCCCCCCACCCCCCCCCCCATCCCTCACATTCTTTGTTGTCTGCATGTTGTTTCATTTTTGTTTTGACTATGTCGCATTGTTTTGTCTTCGAAAAAGTTTTTATTAGAGCTGCATTGTGTCTTTCATGAGGCTGTCTTTGTGCATGTGGTTTTTATGATATCAGTGGGAGGATATTTTGTTTTAACTCATGACTGTTTTTGTCTTCCTAGTGTCTTGATATGAAAATGATCTAAATTTGCCAAGACACATTTGCATAGGATGGATACATTTTCACCCTGCTCTGTTGTAATAACAAAAAAAAACAATTGCACTGGAGTTTTTTTTAAATTAAGTATGATTTTCTACTTTGCATTGTACAATGAGCAAGTTAGTAACTTATATCATTAGTTGTTGTACAGAGGTGTGCTTTTTATTTATTCGTTGTCCAGTTTATCCTCTTTTCTTTTATGTGCTTAGTATGGCATTATGTTGTTTTTTATGCAATCGCTGTAAGAAAACAATAAAGATCTGTACAGTTTTTATGTGAACTATGTCTATTGACAGACAGGGTTTATATTTTATATTCTCATGAACAATGCAGTGTTTATTTTTTTTTCTCTGTATATAAAATACAACTGCATTCATTGGAATACACATTTCATATAATGTATAGTGCCGCAGCTTGCAAACATGCAGTCCATATTTAGGTGAACTCCACTTTTCCTTTCATATTTTGATGATATTTTTTTTAAAGAAACTCCTGTGATTATCGTTCTCCAAGTAGTCGTTGTAGGGGAACACCACAAACTTACAAATTTTCTAGATTTGATAACCGATATATATAAATATAAATTGAAGATTTCATACGTCAAGTTTTAAATAGGGAATAGATGATATGATATTTGCTTCTTTCCCCTTGTACTCGTTGTTTAGTGTCTCAAGAAAAAATATATAATGTCATTTTAGAAAACGTTTTTAAAGATGTGCAATTAAGAATGGAAGTTGAGCTGGAGATCATAATATGCAGATTTTGGTTGACTTGAGAGAAATAGCAAATACTATTGTACAGTATATATTCCATTTGTTGATAGTGGTATATATTTTTAAAGACAACGCACACTTGCCATATACCAAAATGTATGAGAGGTTTTGAAGCGAACCTTCAGAAAGAACCAAAAATATGTAAAAAGTGATTTGTATTTTTCTTTTTCACTGACTGATGATGTATTTTTCTAACGTGTGAAGGAGCTTGTAGGTGTATTTCTGAAGGAATAAGGTTGAGAGAGGAGTATGGTTATAGAAGGCAAGATGTCGACTCAACAGGGGACTCCCTTCACACCGGAAGGAAGAATAGTTTATATGTTTGTATTTGTTGGATAAAAAGTTATTTTAGCGATAAAATATCTAATTATGTCAAGCACAGGTACTATTCATCAGGGCCCCCCGTTCTATAGAATTTAGCATTGATGGTAACTTCCATGGAAACCTTGATTTGATAGGCTGTTGAGTAATGTTACCATGGTAGTGGTAAATGTTATGCAACGGGGCTCTCGTCAGGGCCAGAAGGGCCTTTACTCTGCGTTAAGTTCATGAGTTAACGCCCTTCTGGCTCCAAACAGACAAATCGTTATCCCACGCTCATGTTTCAGATAGGGCTTTAATATGACCAGGGGGGGCGTTTCACAAAGATCCTAAGTAGAACTTAACATTAAGTTGGACTTAAAAATTATGGACAGCCATTGGAGCCTTAAAATGAAATATATTCAAAAGCAGAAATTCAAGTATTTTAGACTTTTTATAAATTCCACATCAAGAACATAGAATCTTCCATGATAATAGAAAATATGAATGATTTGAATCAACATTTTATGCCTTTTAAAATTACTTTTACAAAATGTTTTCAGGGATGCTAATGGCTTTCCATAATTTTTAAGTCCAACTTAGAGATAAGTTCAACTTAGGATCTTTGTGAAACACCCCCCAGGTGAACTACATGTTTTTATATCATTCGTTTTAATAGAGCAAAAAGGCAATAAATATGTGGCAAGTGATATGAATTTATGCCCTTTAGTAGTCCCCCAAAATAGGGCACTCAATGTACACTTAATGAAAATCAGTTCACTTGAATGAATGATGAGAAATGCTAAACTCGATCTTGATGTTATGTGAACACATGTTGACAAAAGTATCATGTTGTAGAAGCCAGTGGGCTACAGGACATTGAATCTTTAGAAGGTCATTTGAGTTAATGCCCTTCTGGCTCTCAATATACAATATGTTGTCTGTTTGGAGCTGGGAGGGTGTGAACTCATATATTTTGATACCAAGATAACGGCCTTCTCTCTCTGAACAGACTGTATTTCAAAACCCAGCAAAAGGGTGTGTTCTCACTTGTTTATAAACACATGCCTAGATCAGATATCGCTGCTGAGAGCCAGAAGGGCATTAACTCATATACTTGATACAGAATTAGCACCCTTATGGCTCTGAAAAGACTGTGTTTCAAACCCAGCGAAAGGGTGTGTTCTCACCTGTTTATAAATACATGCATACAGTAGATCAGATATCGCTGCTGTGAGCCAGACTCTGTGAAATCATGAGATGACCCATCTTGCTCTCTACTGATAAAAAGTCACTTTGGAAATACGAAGCCAGACTTGACTGTGGGAAAATCTTTCTGGTGTAAGGGAGGATTGTGGGGGGGGGGGGGTATATTTGGGAATATCCGCCTGCCCTTGTTTGTATGCTTGGGGTATACATTGCAATGGTTAAACTGTGTTTGATATCCATTTTGTTTGCTTCAATGATAATACCTGTGAGAGTCTTTACTTCATTAATATTTGTCAAGGAATTGGCTTAATTTATTTAAGTATCACCAACTTAATGTATTTAAGGATTTAAGTGAATATATAGATAGGAATTGAGGAATTCCTCTTATTTCATCTTCATATTTATAAGTATGAAAATGAGTTAAGATATTTGTCATGTGGGGCACTATTTTAGTTGAATGCATATGTTGAGTTTATTGTCCCTTTGTAAGCATATTAATGTATCATTCACATGCCACAATCATTTTATATTTTTCCATTTGGAAATACTTTTTGATGATTGTAACATACACTTTAGAGAGAAATACTAATAAATGCAAATGTTATATTTAAAATATAATGGTTTATGTCCATGTTTTTTTCTTCTTTCTAAAGTGTTTTTGACTCATTATGTTAATGGGATATAAAAGGAAAATGATTTATAGAAAGTGGCTGGATCAATGCCTTACCACTGGTGGTTATAAGGAGGGGCGGAAGAGGAGGAGGACGATGGGTTGATGGTCGTGGTGGTGGTGGTGGTAGTAATGATGACCATGAGGA